TCCTTTCCCAAATGGAAATAACTCCCCAGCATGGGGCAGAAGGCTCTCTGGCTAAATCCACCATCTCGTATGGCATGCTGGGGGCATATTGCCCTAAAATTTCACAATGGTCTCTGGCAAGGAGAGGAACAGGAAGACCTAGTACCTCCTGTGGAAAGAAACCAAGCAAAAGAGAATATTTTGAACCAAGTTTGCCATCAGCTTTGTACTTCACAGAGGAGCCAGACTATTTTTCGTTTGGCTTTGCAGTTCACTGCAGCCAGAGGCCTTCAGACCAATGTTGCCAGCGAACGCTCTTGAGGCTTGTGATCAGTATCAAAACCAAAGAGCTCATCAGTACGGAGTAAAACTCCCCAGTCTAGCTCTAGTGCAGTATTAAAACCATCTGCAAAGCAATCAAGAAGCTGAGCAGTAAGCTCCTCCGCTGCCTGAGTCACACGCACATTGAATTTGCCTTGGAAAAGGACAATTGCCAGCAGGCCTGCTCAGAAATGCCAATTTTAGTTAAAAACTTCCATCAAATGCCAGGCAGTATCAGTACCTGAAGAGTTTCATGCTGGGTGAGCTTTCTTGACATCTTGCTGAGCCAAATGGGGGTGGTTGGCAGGAGAGGGCTTTCAGAGAGCTCTCTAGCATCAAAGCGGACAGAACAGCCTTTGCTGACAACCTGCTGCTCGGGGGAGACGGCATGTGCTGAGCTTATGATTAATTCAGGGAACTAACTGTGGTTACAGCTTTTATCCTCCTTTTAGCTTCTCCTAAGCTGCACTGGAGGTGGGAGGCATCAGTTGAGTCCAATCATGGTGTCCTCCTGGCTGGTGCTGAGTGGCAAGGCTGGTGTTTGTGTCCTTTCCTACCCTGGTGGGATGTGAACTGAACGCTTCTCTGCTGCCAGGAAACCTCTGTCGCTCTGTGGGCAGGGGCGAGGGAAGCACAAGCTCTTCAGACCAGGCTGCAAGTTGGCAAAACAGCAGCTTCTGGGCCAACACCCTTCCTCTTCTTGTTGTCATGCTGTCCTCAGAGCCCTCCAGCACTGGAAGAGTGTGTGGATCTGGGACTTCTGGGTTCAGTTTCCTGTGCAAGTGTCTGGGTTGGTTTCCGCAGCTTGCAGTGAGGATGGGAGGCAGCATCAAGACAGCCTGGCTGTAAAGGTTCTGCGCCGTTGGATGTTACCTGTGCACAGTCACGCTCCTCTCTTCTTCCTGTCCCCCTCAGGAAGGTCTCAACGAGCTGAACAGCACAGCCATCAAACCCCAGGTGAAGCCTTGGATCAACCTATTCCTCTCGGTTTCCCACAACATCGAGGAGGTGAGGCTCAGTGTTCTCTGCTTCCAGCCATACTTGTGCACTCTCCACCCTCTGCTCAGCAGCACCATCGGAGCAACTGCTGTCTCATTCCCGTCAGCTCTCTGCTGTTTCCTTGGCACAGAGCAACAGTAAAATACCCAGAACTTGCTCTGCATCCGAGCCTGGAAAGGAGCGTTTGGCTAGAGAGGAGCTTGAGAAAATGGAAAGGGTGCAGTGCTGCTCCAGGAGGGTCCTCCCTTCCTGTCCTCTGGGCCCTTTGCTGCTGTTGACAGCGGGCCACATAAACAACCCTTTTTGTATTTCGATGTCAGGAGGAGTTCAGCGACTACGAAGCTAATGATCCCTGGGTCCAGCAGTTCATCCTCAATCTGGAACAGCAGATGACAGAGTTCAAGGTGAGAGAGAGGGAGGGACGGGGCAGCCTGCCAGGCTTTGGCCTCTGCCAGCTCTTCCCGGGCTTAGAGAAACAGGGGGACGGAGATGTCCTCCGGTGCCTTGCAGGGCTCTCAGAGACCCAATCACCCCCTTCTCCTGCAATTCTCGAATCCTGCTTGCAAGTCCCACGTACGTGGATCACTTCTGCGGTGCTCTCCACTTGCCGAGTCTGCAAGTGCTGGGTCTTTATTTGAAAGCTCTCGTAGGCTTGGGTTTTGTGGACCTCTGCTCAGTTGTTCCTGACCAGAATGACACCGGTTTCTGCTTCCAGGCGGGACTGTCTCCAGTGATTTATGATACCCTCACTGGTCTGATGACCAGTCTCATAGCCATCGAACTGGAGAAAGTGCTGCTCAAATCCACCTTCAGCAGGGTAAGCAAAACTCTTCTCTACCCTGTAGTCCGGCTTTGACTGCAAACCCTCCACCAGGAAACCCTCAGTAAAGGGATGATGCAGGACAGAAGCCAACATTACCCTTGGAGAAGCTCTGCCACCACTGGTGACCAGCTCAGGGGGGCCTTGCATTAGTGCACACAGGGAGAAAATGTATTTTGGGATGGGGCTGGGAAGAGCTTGCATCAATAAGAGGGCTGGCTTTTAAGGTAGGTCTAAACATAAGCCAGTTTAACCTGCAATAAATGGTCTAACTGGAACCCTTCTGCTCAGAGACCTCCCTCACTGTAATTTTTGTTCATTGTGTATTTGGCACGGCCCCTCTGTAACTGCTTGGAGGGTTAACAGAGCTCCCTTGGTCCCCACAGCTCGGCGGCCTGCAGTTTGACAAGGAGCTGAGGTCTCTCATAGCCTATCTCACCACGGTTACCACCTGGACCATCCGTGACAAGTTTGCCCGTCTTTCCCAGATGGCCACCATCCTCAATCTGGAAAGGGTGAGCTGCACTTTGTCTGCTTTTATTGGGGGATTGCAGGAGCTCCAGCTGGTCTCCACATGGATTTACTGGGCTCATCCACACATTGTCACACCTACGGGGTATGCGAGAAGCTGGAAAAGTTGCCCCATGCCTGATGGAGCAGGAAACACTGTGACCGTAGCCAGAATCTGAACTCACCTGTGAGGGCGGTCGGTGCCGAGATGTCTCCTGCAGCTCTCCTCTTTTTCCAGGTGACGGAAATCCTGGATTACTGGGGCCCAAACTCAGGCCCGCTTACCTGGCGCCTTACTCCCGCTGAAGTCCGGCAGGTGCTGGCTCTCCGAATTGACTTCCGCAGTGAGGATATCAAACGGCTGCGCCTATAGTTGGCCGGTGCTTGGGTCAGCACCGCGCTGGAGGTGGCGGCAGGAAAGCTGCAGCCTTGGAGCTTGTCCTGGGGCTGTTTGGCTGTTAGGTGGTGTGGGGATGGGGTGATGGCTGCCCTCCTGCTCGTCTTCCTCGGAGCAAAGGGCTTTCCTGGGCCTGGGAAGAAGAGCCGCCATCCTTTTGTGGGAGCAGAAACAAGGCGGCAGAGGAATCTCTCTCACATTGAGAGCAGCGTGACACTATTTCTGAAAACACATGCTAGTCTGAGGGACAAGCTTGTGCTAGGTCCTGACTCCCTTTGTTCTGCCGCCCTGTGGGAGGCCACAGGTCAGGACATTTGGGGGCTGTTGTGGTGTGGCTCAAATAGGGGGCTGCTCTCCCTGCACTTGTGTTCCTTCTGTGCCACCAGTTTAAGGGTCAGCTACTGGAGTCCTACAAATCCCGAGCCCTTGGCTCGCTCTCCTGGTGGGTGGTAGGGACCATTCCTGTTGAAGGGTAAAAGGAATGATTTCCTTGTGGGGAAAATGCTTGGAAAAATTCCTAGAAAGCTGCTGTGGGAAGCCGGGCCGTGTCCCTGCTGGCTTGGTGTGGCCTGTAGAGCTACTCTGTAAATAAACCTGGCCTGGCTGAGCAGCAATCTGGGGTGCAGTGTGTGTGTCTGTGGGCCCGGAGGGAGCTGGAGAAATGCAGGACAAGAGCTACGAACCATTTCTCCTCTTCTACCCTGTGCCACAGCATCAAGATCTTCCCGTCCCTCCCCTTGCGGCCGGCACTGGCCCATCGTGAGTACAAACACCCCTGCGGTGGTGCCAGCCCCGCTGCTCGGCAGCGTTCCTGTGCTGTCCCCTGGCACCCAGGGCTGTGGAGGGCGATGACCAGCCCCTGCATGTGGGTTCTGCCATAGCCAACCCCCCCCACCCCAAAAAAGCTTTGTCCCCGCATTGCTGGGCCCTGCTATCCCACAGAACGGGAGGAGCCCCGCTAGGGCCAGAAGGGCGTGAACACATGCTGGGAACAAGGGTTTTTTATTCAAAGAGATTGCAAGGATCAGTAACTCGCTGCAGAAAAAGTCTCTCAACACGGGAGAGGGACTGGATTCCACATCCAGGTGCAACCTTAGTGCAGGAGCATTGCACACCGACTGGGCAGCACAGGCCCCTGCTGCTGGAAGAGCAGGAAGGTTCCTGCTAAAGGCAGCATCACAAATGCTATATTTATTTTTTTTTTTTTCCTTTGGAGAACCGTGAAAACTGGAGTGAAACCGCAAAATCAGCCTGGAGGTCGTAACAAACTGTCCTTCCAGCAAGGCCACCCTCCAGGGATGGTTTTGCCTGCCCAGCTTGTCACAGTTTCTCCAACCTCTGTGGCTTTTGGGGTGAGTAGCAGCACAAAAAGGCCACATCAAGACCTAAGGCACCTGCTGGAGCCAGCTGAAGGAGCTGGGGATTTTCCTGCTTTGGAAGGCAGCCAGCTGCTCCCTCCCCTGCCCTGCGGATCTGCCAGGAACGGGTCAGGGCTGAAGGCCTTCACACAGCCGTGTCCT